GAAATGGTACACACCAATTCAATGAGACACTTCAATCTCTATAAATAGAGACCTTCAAATTCGTTTTTGTACACCAAATCAATTAATATATTCTTGAGTTTTAAATTCGTTCTCTCTCCATATTCTGCAAGAATTCCTTCAATATTTTCGTTGTTATTCCATTCGAGTACGTTCATTCTTTGTTTCGACCAACAAGGTTGGTATTGTGCAATATCAACTTTGGAAGAAGCGTTGTATCTTGGGAGATAGACGTCCATAATCCCGTTTACACGTTGTTGGGGGGCAAAATCTGTCTTAAGGAGATTTGCCTTGGCATACCTCGCTTCATCTTCTACTTTCATTTTCTATTATTTTTGTTTATTCTTTTGATTGCGGTAGTCGAATTTCCGACAACAATCACCAAATCTACAGTTTCTGCAATGGCAAAACCCACTTCAATTCTTTCAAGAAAGCTAGTTTTTCGATACCTTCTTCGTATAAATTTCAACACGAATCTTGTTTTGAAAGAGGGTTCCGATATTCAAGAATCAGAGTGACAGCTTCAGATTCAAAAACTGACAAAAAACAAGTGGATGTCAATTTTCTACTTATTTTTGTGGTCTACTTATAGCTTAATATGAAGATTTAAACCTTTTTTTTTCCTTCTGAAATTTAATGTTTGGGATGTGGTGATTAGGTTGTGTATGATCTTGATGATAAGTTTAATAAGTTAGCTGATGAAGTTGATAAGAATACTGGGATGTTATGTTTAATTTTCTGCTTATTGCTGTGTGGAGATATTCTAATTTTTCTACTTGTTTTGAATATAAACATTCTTTTTCTTAAAAAGTTGAATTTGTACCTGAAATTGAATGTGACTTTTGATGTTTATGCTGGGGTGGTTAGGTAGTGTATGATCTTGCGGACAAGTTTGATAAAGAATGGTGGGAATTCGAGCTATCTATTTTTATGTTCATCTTCTTCCTATCAGAGGAGAAGATAAGGTATCAGAGGAGAAGATGAGGAGAGAGAAGCAATTTTCATTTATTTTTAATATTTTAATAATTTATTTGGACTTATTTGCATTTTTTTAAAAAAAATTTAGGAGTAAGATAGCAATTTATTCTTTATTTTTCTTTTATTTTATTTATTTATTTATTTATATAGGAGTGTATATTATTCATTTTATGTTAAAAATATGTGAAAATGACGTTTTTCGCAATGAAATGTGGAAGATATGGGTGAAAATGTTAAAAAATGAAAGGTATGGACGTTTTGCACAATAACATTGAAAGGCATGGACATTTTGTTCTATTTACCCTAAGATAAAAATATGCCGTTTATTACTTACATAATTTAATATAGTATTGTCATTGAAACATTATTAAAATTTGCAATCTAGCATGTTGCTAGTGTCTATCGTGAATTAGGATCAAACTCCTCATGAGATATTGAATTTGTAGTAAGCAATGTCCTTCCATATTAGGGAAAAGATATTATAGAAAAAAAAAATTGTTATTCCAATATTAAAACCAG